GTGTTATTACGAGGAAACAACAATAAAACCTGGTTAAAAGTCCAAAAGGTCAGGCAAGCAGAAAAAAATATAAAAGAGTATCGCTTTAGTTTACAGTCTAAACAATCCTTGCGTGCTGACAAACTGACAAACCACATTCCTTTAGCGTTTGTTCATTTCTTCCTTTCGCATCAAGTTTATTTTATTTTTTTTAAAGATTTCCTTCCGTAAATGCACAAGACAGGAGCTCGGTTTGCGATTCAAATGCAGATTTACGAAAAGCCCAACCCGTCCAGTGGGTTTGATTAAAGATGAAAACTCGTTTGTTTATGTTAATTGTGTTGCAGTTACTGTCATTCTGAAAAAAAGAAAAAGAGTTTTGACAGATGCAAGTGGACAACATAACAAGTTATTAAGTGTTTTTTTTTTACAGCCAAATCGCATGACGTGAAATAAATACGAAGCGAAACGGGTCGGAGCTCATCAGTTGTAAAGTATTAATTATAATTTGCCATGTCAGTGTCTAAAATGCAATGTTTATTTGTGGTGCTAATGCTAAGCTATCGCCCGAAGCGGTTTCACGTAGGCAGGCTAAGTGCTAATGCTAACTGTGTCGGTTTTAGGCGCCGGGGTGAAGTGTTCGAGCGGATCCGCGTCGGCGCCGCTCGGACCTGTTTTCTGGAGCGCGGCGGCCGTGTCTTCCCGTCCTCAGCATCCCAGGAACGAGGGCGAAACCCGGGGGGAAATCGGTCGAGTCGCCGCAGCGGAGAACACCACCGGTACGCAGCCCATCATGCACTGCGAGAGCCGAGGAGAGCCGAGGGGAGCCGAGGAGAGCCGAGGGGAGCCGAGGAGAGCCGAGGGAGCCGAGGAGAGCCGAGGAGAGCCGAGGGGAGCCGAGGATAGCCGAGGATAGCCGAGGATAGCCGAGGATAGCCGAGGGGAGCCGAGGATAGCCGAGGATAGCCGAGGATAGCCGAGGGAGCCGAGGGGAGCCGAGGGGAGCCGAGGGGAGCCGAGGGGAGCCGAGGATAGCCGAGGATAGCCGAGGATAGCCGAGGATAGCCGAGGATAGCCGAGGGGAGCCGAGGAGAGCCGAGGATAGCCGAGGATAGCCGAGGATAGCCGAGGATAGCCGAGGATAGCCGAGGATAGCCGAGGATAGCCGAGGGGAGCCGAGGGGAGCCGAGGATAGCCGAGGATAGCCGAGGGGAGCCGAGGAGCCGAGCCGAGGGGAGCCGAGGATAGCCGAGGGGAGCCGAGGGGAGCCGAGGATAGCCGAGGATAGCCGAGGGGAGCCGAGGATAGCCGAGGGGAGCCGAGGATAGCCGAGGGGAGCCGAGGGGAGCCGAGGGGAGCCGAGGATAGCCGAGGGGAGCCGAGGGGAGCCGAGGGATAGCCGAGGGGAGCCGAGGGGAGCCGAGGATAGCCGAGGATAGCCGAGGATTGCCGAGGGGAGCCGAGGTTACAGCCAGATTTGGTTATAGACAGTGTTGGGAAGGTGACTTTTAACATGTATTCCCCTACAGATTACTGATTACACACCCCAAAACATACCCTAGTTTAGACGTGGTCTAGACCTGGTTTTAGACCTGGTTTAGACCTGGTTTAGACCTGGTTTAGACCTAGTTTAGACCTGGTTTAGACCTAGTTTATACCTGGTTTAGACCTGGTTTATACCTGGTTTAGACCTGGTTTTAGACCTGGTTTAGACCTGGTTTAGTTTCCGGCAATTACGAAAAAAAAAAAAAGAAAAGAAAAAAGGGGGGATATAGCCAAAATGTAAAAACAGGAAAATCCCGCCGTGTAATCCACTTATTTTAACCAAACTGTAATCCAATTACCACTCACTGAAACAGTAACTGTAACTGAATACAGTTACTCATAATTTGTACTCTGATTACGTAACTCAGGTACATGTAATCTGTTACTCCCCAACACTGGTTACAGAATACTGAATACCTGCTTTAAAACGTGCAGTATGTTTGAAATACGATTCAATCAGAGATGAAATTGTAAAAACATGACATATGATTACAAAAACTACTTTATTGGCCCTCGCCACTAACAACGTTAGAGGCGAGGGGTATTTCGGTATCTTCGCCGGTTTCTTACGTTTGTTTATTATTTTTCCTTGCAAACAATCGCGATTTTGACCCCCTGAACATCGACGAAAAGTCCCCAAACCGGGTATCAGATCGACCAGTCCGGTGAAAAATTTGATAAAATGGGCATCGTGACAATGCCCAAAGCCCCCCCACTCAACAGCGCCCCCTTGAAATGTCAAATTTTGAAAATGAATTGGAGGCTCAGACATATATTTTGGCGTAGGCTCACAAAATTCGGGGCAGTGATAGAACTCAAGGAGACAAACAAAAAAGTCAATCATTGTGCACCCCTATGACCAACAGGAAGTCGGCCATATTGGATCAAAAATTCGCCGCCGTTTTGACTTGGGTGTCTACAAAAAGATTCAAGTCCCCGGGGTTTGGTCCAAATGAGCTCAAACTTCACATGTCACATCTAGAGACATAAACTCACAAAAATCATAAATTTTTTTATTGATACTCCTTGCCCGTAGCACGCCGCCGAAAAACGCCTTCATTTCCTGTTTCTTCGGTGACCTGTCACGGCCACAGGCATTGTCCTAGAGAACTCAAATTCAAATCACAATTGCGTGATCCAGGCCTGAATGTGATGAAATATGAAATCTAATAAAAGTGAACTCTGTAGCGCCCCCTAGCATAGACGTGAAACATCAACATTATCAGATTAGTACCAAATTCGGGAATTAAATTCTGCGCATGATTACAAGCAAAAAAGTCTATTACGGACATGGGGCTTTTCCACGTTTGACCAGCAGGGGCACAAAGACTCCCCCAAAAAATTGTTAAAAAATAATTACACACACAGGCTTAGTCCGATCGTGCTGAAATTTGAATCACTAATGCCTGATCACGGCCTGAATATAATAAACTATAAAACATATGAAAAATGAACTCTATAGCGCCCCCTAGCATAGACATGACATGTCAACAATTTCGGATTTGTACCAAAGTTGGGGATTAAATTCTATGCGTGATTACAAGCAAAAAAGTCTATTATGGACATGATGCATTTTTCACTTTTGGCCAGTAGGGGCATAAAGACTCCCCCAACAAATACTTAGAAAATGATTACACCCACAGGCTGAGTCCGATTGTGCTGAAATTTGAATCACTAATGCCTGATCCCAGCCTGAATATAATACACTATAAAACATATGAAAAGTTAACTCCATAGCGCCCCCTACCATAGACATGACATGTCAACATTATTGGATTTGTACCAAACTCAGGGAATAAGTTCTATGCATGACTATGAGCAAAAAAATAAATAACGGACATGGTGCATTTTCCACTGTTGGCCAGCAGGGGCGCAATGACTCCTAAAAATATTTAAAGGTGCATTATGTAATGTGTCTAATGGATGAGCTGTCAGCCTGGGTGGATGTCGGGAAGAGAGGGTGACATGCCGGGGCGGTCGCGAGTCCCCGGCGGTCGCATTTCGGGGCGGTGCGCGCCGGGGCGAGGGCTACCATCGCCGCGCGCGGCTTTAATTTTTGTTGTTACGCATTTATTTAACTAAGATCTATGCTATTATGATTGTATCTTAGCTGTTTTTTGGCTTTTGTATGGGAAGCACTTCAGGATCTACAGTACAGAGACAAAAAAAAATCGGGACTTTCTTTTTCTCATTTTCATTTTCTCATGAATATGGTGCAGTTCAAAGCAAAAATTGCAGATACAGTACCGCCATGTATTCCTTAAATTTTAGAAAAGTATTTATATTGTGAAATCCACCAAATGAAAATGTAACTGTGCTGTAAAATTTAAATTAAAAGTGTAAAATCCGTATTCAGAATGTGTATTTTCAGTACATGTATTCAGGTAGTTCCCGGTGCCGGGCTTTGATGAAGATACAACATTATAAGAAGCAAATTTTAGATGAACACAATGTAAGTTTTCCAGTAAAGAGTCTGCCATCTGCTTGTTTCCATGGAGATGTACCGTATTTTTTGAACTATAAGCGAGAAAATGAGTAGTGAATAAGAAAAAAACATATCGCACTGGACTATAAGTCGCACTTTTTTGGGGGAAATCTGTTTCATAAAATCAGAGACGAGGAACCAAATTTCATCATCAGGAACCAAGGGGAACTGACAAGAGCTGAGGAGATCCGAGGAAAATCAACAAACGGAAAGTCTAAATACATTTTTAAATGGGCACTTCAGTACGTTTACGTAAGCAAATTTTTCATGTGATACTTTTACTTTTACTTACAGGTATTTCTTTGCTCTGGTATCTGCACTTTTAGTAAAACAACAGAATTAATAACGTTGTTAGTGGCGAGGGCCAATTACTTCATTCACCACTAAGTCTATAACATGTTTTCATCTTCATAACAGTCACATATTTCAGCAGTCAACTGGCATCTGAATGTTTATGGTCATAAAATAATGAATGAAATGAGCAGTTTAAATAAATAATGTGTGTGTATGTATGTGTGTTTGTATGTGTGTGTATGTGCATGTATGCATGTGTGTGTGTGTGTGTGTGTATATGAACTGACTTTGGGAATGACCAGGAGCTGCTGCTGGAGGAGCGCAGGGTCCGTGAGAGTTCGTAGGGTAAAAGCAGTTCTGAAAGATAAGATGGCCCAAGACCATTAAGACATTTAAAATCCAGAAAAAGAACTTTAAAATGGATCCTGAAACTCACAGGAGCCAATGCAGTGATTTTAAAACCAGTGTAATGTGGTCCCGTCTTCTGGTCCTCGTCAGGACACGTGCTGCTGAATTTTGTAATAATTGCAAACCTGAAATACACTTTTTGGGAAGAGCAGAGAGCAGGACATTACAGTCGTCTGTTCGACTGGTGGTAAAAGCATCAGCGTCTCTGTGTCGGCCAGAGAGAGAGAATGGGGTGGACTCTGGCTATGTTTTTTAGGTGATAAAAAACTAATTTTGTGATTGCTTTTGATCACCTAAAAAAACATATTTCAATGGTTATTGATATTTCAAAAATTAATCGGGCTTCACAAATGGATTCATTATTAATCTTCAAGAAATATGTAATTTTTTCCAGCTTACCCAACTCAATGAGGATTTCAGGATTTTTTTTTTATTTTTCTAAATTTTTTGTCAAAAAATGAAGGTTACATACACTAAAATGGCCACAGTTTTTTTCGCTATATTTCTAGAAGAGCAGACCCTCCAGTGATTGGTCTTTAGGGTCACAGTTAACAAAAAAAAACACACAAATGAAAAGTATAACAGACGATGTCAAGTTCAACTCATTTTATTGAGCTTTTGAGACTTTGGCTCCCTGACTATCAAGGCAATGCACAGCCCTATATTCCAACCCTCTTTACTCCTATATTTTATTTTTTAAAGTTATGTAAAACACAAAAATTTATATATGGCCAAGGTCAAGCAGAAATAAACAGCAAGACCAAAAATTCAAGTTAATGCATCTGATATAAAAATGTATTGAACAGATACATATGTACTCTAGTTTATCAAACTGTTGACCTTTTTTCTGTACCATTTTTGGTTCTAAAGTTCCATACGTTTTAAACAGACCATGTATGAAACATGGAACAAAAATTATTTCCCAAATTTCAAAGACCCAAAAATCATGTAAATAAATGGATGTATTTCATCATATCTTGTGTTATTCCATCTTTGAACTGTTGATGAAGGGACATGGTTTTTCCAAAAAAACATTTAAAATGATAAAAATTAGCTTGGAAGGACTGATATATTTTATAGAAATAGTTTCCTTTCATTTTGAAGTAATATTAAAGTATTTGGAAGAAAAAAGCGACAAATGATGTAAAATCCTGCACCTTCTACTTGTTTGTACAATTTTCCCTCTGTTACTTTTCCCTCCGTTACCATGACCTTTCTTAATAAAAAATCTCATGAGTCAAAAAGTAAGAGGTTTTTCAACCTAATCTTGTACCATATGGTAGAAAACTATATGAAGCAAATATTCAAACCAGTTTGTTAAGGATATGTAAGTGAGAACCAAGAGTTATCACTGTTTGGATTTATTGACCAAAAAGTGCTGCATATTTCATTACCTCCGTTACCGACATGAGTTTTTTAAATTTTTTGTCAAAAACTTGAAAGAATATCACAGGTTTAACTTGACCCTGTTGGAGTGTAACTCTTTCCTACATTCTGATACTTTACTTATTTCAATAGTCCCTCTAGTTTCTGAATAAGAGACATTTGAATGTCAAAAATCTGCCCCTGTTTCCCTCCGTTACCACTTGACCAGACCCACTGTAAAAGAGAGAAGCACATTATGGACTGAGATGGAGCAAACATCATTGGGACAGAGGAAAAGAAACATCGTCGCTGGATTAAAGAGGCAATCGAAATACGGAAACTTCAGTCATGGGCGCCTCACAAAGATGAAATCAGTTTTTCTTTTATCAACATTTTTGGAAATCAACCCAACTTTAGAATTTTTTGGGGTAATTTTTTCTGATTGTGCAAAAGGAAGTGAAAAGTGAAAATGTTTATGAACTTGATTAAAAAGCATTGAAACTCTAAGCTTTGTGTGTGCCAAAATTGCGATTGCACATGAGGTAATTTAATAGCTGGCAGTTCACATGTGAACTCTAACTGTTTGTTGCATTGGGTCTGTGCCTGTGCAACATTGTCTTATGTGCAAATGAGCAAATGTTCTAAGTGCTCCGAGTTATTAAAGTGCAATGTAAAAATGACAAAGTGCAAAGTGGATTAAAGTGCCTGTGTGAATGATCCTCTCATGAATCACCAATGGGCTGTTTGTGACAGTTACACAGAAAACTGACTCTTGTATTTCCTCTGGTTGAAAAAACACTGGTCCGTTTACTTCCCCGTCTTTTACTCATGAAACAATAACTCAGTATTTTGGATGCTTATATTATTTATTTAGACTCCCCCAGGCCTGGTGTTTGCTCTGGGGGTTTAGGGTCTATTAAGCCAATGATGTTCATTTTGTCTTCTTATATACTTTAACTTCTTAGGTTCTTTTTAAAGACAGTGCAGTAAAGTATATTTACCTTGTTGACATGTTTCGGCTGCTGCTGCATCTTCAGAACTGTCAGCGGTGTTGGTGGTGACGTGTCGTATATCAGCTGTTGTTACTTCCTGTGGGCGTGGTCAGACCTGATGGACCTGGCAGGTCGCTCAGACTGACCACGTCTCCCGTCGCCCGGTGTCTCTGGAGGAGGGTGTCCCAGGTGTGTGAAAGGAGGAACGCTCCGTCATCACGGTTAATGCTGTCCGTGCCTCGTTTCCTGATTTCAATGTCCTCCTTGATCCAGCGTTTGAACTTGTTGTTTTCCGATCCAATGACCTGAGCCCCGTCCCGATCCAGAATGTGGTTGTTCCTTTTACAGTGTCTGATATGGCGGATTTTAGGTTTTCCTGTTCTGCTTTGTCTTTTTGTGTTCTGGTCAACAACATCAACAAGTTACAACATATCCACATGTTTTATAACCTTCACTTTTGTTTTTGACGCTCTGAGTGTGGCCCCAGAGAGATCGCTAAATGACTGAAACATGCGTGGATGATTCTAAAACTTCTTCAGGCAGGTTTTTGATGAGGGAATAAAGTTATATTAGCATTTAAAGTTATTAGCATTTTAACAGCGTGAGGCGTCTGGACCTGGCGACCAACACCTGGCACGAGATGCCCCCCATGAACCACAGACGCTGCTACGTGAGCGTGGCGGTGCTGAACGGCCTCATTTATGCCATGGGCGGCTTCGACGGGAACACGATTCTCAACACGGCCGAAGTGTTTGACCCCCAGACCCGCTGCTGGTCCCTGATCACCCCCATGAACGAGCATAGGAGCGACGCCGACTGTGCCGCTCTGAACGGAAAGGTACGTGCACAGAGAAATATGAGAACAATCGTTAACTCTTCTTTGAATGGTTTTAATGAAACACACTTCATTCATAAAGAACAAAAAACAAACTTCTGAGGAACACGTGTCCTGCTCCAGGACACAGATATTGTAGAAGCAGCTCTCGAGGGGAAAATAAGTCCACTGTGTACTGCCTGAATCTAATTATAAAGCGTTTTATTGACCGATAATCAGGAAGTCCAGATTAGCATGCTAGTGGTCGTTAGTTTAACCGTCACAGCCAAACTCTGTTTTGACGTCTGAAAGTTGTGACAAGTGTTTATAAACTCACTATTGTGAATAATGAGGACGCTCTGATCACAGAAGGTGAGTGAGGAAAAACTTTGGAGCAAACGGTTTAAAACAAACTAGTTTTGTTTTTAAGACGGAATAAATCAGGTACAGAGACTTTAATGACACTCTAACCCCTCAAGGAGCTACAAAGCCCCAATCATTCTTAATAAACTGTTGGTTCATTAGGTGTAGTTATTACACTTAATTACAGTGATACAGAAAATACATTTAATAAAAAAAAGTTTCATTTATTCATTTATTTATAACCTTTAACCTTTGTGTGTTGTGCAGATCTACATATGTGGAGGCTTCGACGGCTCTCAGTATCTGCAGACGGCCGAGTGCTACAGCCCCGAAACAAACCAGTGGAGCTTTATCGCTCCCATGACGACCAGACGCGGCTCAGTGTCACCACCTACGACAACAGCATCTATGCGGTAAGTGCAGAACTACAAACACAACTGAGCCCCAGAGCCTTCAGCTGCAGACAGAGACACGTCCAAGTGTGTCTCATCTCAGTTTATGGACAGACCAGGCCTCATGTGAAGCTCACGATTCCTTTAAATCTTGTACCTTTTTATATTTTCGTAGACTCACTCTAAGATTGTTTGGAATGACATGACATTATTCTCTTGTCCTAACATGTGGGCTCTGTGTGTAGGTCGGGGGTTTTAACAGGACTGAACACCTCCGCAGCGTGGAAGTCTACAGTCCACGCTCCGACTCCTGGAGGGAGGTGGCGTCCATGAACACCACACGCAGTTACTTTGGCATCGCCGTCTTAAATAACCGGATCTTCGCTGTGGGCGGATACGCCGGCTTCTCCACCACCTTCCGTGTGGAGGCGTACGACCCCCTAGTGGACAGCTGGAGCGAGGTCTGTGACATGAACATCTTCAGGAGCGCCTTAAACTGCTGCGTCATCTCCGACCTTCCCAACATGTCCGACTACACCTTCCCCAGACACGCTCTTCCTCTGCTCGACGTAGAGACGGACGACGACGACGAGGAGTTTGAGGACGCCACATAAACACACCCTAAACTATGGAGTAAGAAAGCTGTCAAAAATATTTATGCGCATAGAACAGAAATCCGTGCGTATTTGGCTGTAGTTGCGCATAAAATAAATATTTGTAAACTCTTAAATGAGTCCAGTCGTACATAAAATATATTGTGTGTATTTTATCCATCAGAATACGAACTGAAAAATTATGACGTCAAGAATTACAATCACGAAATGAAAATTTAAGATTACGCTTTGATCAGTACGATTACGAATTCACAGACGGAATTTTACTGTCAAAAATACGTCATCACTTCACAGACATTATTCATCGAGCAGAAGAAACATCGATCAAGATCAAGACTGCACATGCTCAAGTTTGTAGCAGAGTAAAAACAGAGTAATAGCACAAGAAGCTACAACATCGACCAACAAGTGGGTTAATTAAAATCTATTGTAAAAATGTCTTGAATTCAGGAACCAAACGCTGCTGTGTAATATTGTGTAGAAACACCTCCTTTGAACGGGAAATTGCACCTATATGTTAGATAACATAGTGGAGCCAGTTGGCCAACATCAGACGTAACGTTCTCCCAGGGCTAATGAGCAAATATCAGGTTCTCTGTATGTTTAGATTAAAACATTCACGGCTCCAGCCACAGCGAGCATCAGTCAGTCTTCACTTCAGCTGAATAGTGACGTTTGTGGTTTGTTGATAACGTGTAGGTGGATGAATGCACTTTGGCCGTTCAGTCACATGTCAAAAGATCAGATATGTATCAGTTTCAGGAGCACAGATCCAAGTGTCCTGGGTCACATTTGAAAAAAATCGGATCTGTGTGGTTCAGACTGTCATTAAAAGATCAGATACAGGAACATAGGGGCCAAAAAATCAGATTTGGGTCACTTCAGGCTGCAGTCTGAACGCAGTCAAAATGTCAATATTATCGTTATCGCAATAAATTCTTGGTCAAATAATCGTCAGGCAAAATCTGTTATCTGTTATAAGGCACCATGAAACTTTCCTGAAGTCACTGGATGAATCGACAAAGCCTGGACTTCAGTGACACCGAAACCATCCTGTCGGGATTCAGAAAGACCAGAATAATTCTAACTGGAACTGATGCTGAGTCTGATGACGGCGACACAGAAGAGGAAGCGGCGCTCTGTTTACATCATGGATCTACGGTTTATCTCCAGAAGTTGCTCAGAAGTGACACCGAGGATGAAGAATTCAATGGATTTAGTGATTTGGAGTGAGATCGTGAGTTTGGTAAAATTGTTCTGTTGTTTATGCTATAATTATCTGAATAACTGTTCATATGTGACGTTAAAGGGCCGTTCACACCAAGGCATCAAAGCGTCCAGTTTCTATGTAAAGTCGATGTGGACGCGCGACTAGAGCGCCCGGCGTTTTTGCGGTGCATTTTCGGCGTCAGCGCGGCGCGAATCTGGCGTTTTTGCGGTGTGTCTTGAGCGTTTTGGCGTCGGCGGTCTAGACGCACGTCCAAGGCGTCAGCGTCAAGAAGCTGAAAATGCAGAACTTTTCGCGTCAGACTCGCCGCGTCGACCAATCAGGGACGAATATCCAGAGACGCGGCGACGTTATTAAGAAGACGTCGCCTCCTGCTTGGCCCACTGACACTTGGCAGGGTTTAGTGTCAGACCTGCCTGTTGGATCTGGCCAAGGACTCGCTCCAGGTGATGCAGGTGCTGTTCCCAGGTGTCACTGTAGATGACCACATCATCCAGGTAGGCAGCACTGCAGTCGCCACACCCCTGCAGGACACGGTCCATTAGTCTCTGGAAGGTGGCAGGTGCTCCATGGAGGCCAAAGGGCATCACGGTGAACTGGAAGAGGCCGGCAGGTGTCCGGAAGGCCGTGTATGGGCGACTGGACACCTCCAGAGGCACCTGCCAGTAGCCCTTGCAGAGGTCAAGGGTGGTGATGAACCTGGCCTGACCGATCTTCTCCAGCAGGTCGTCAATCCGGGGCATCGGGTAGGCATCGAACTCAGACATCGCGTTGAGCTTCCGGAAGTCGATGCAGATGCGGAGTGAGCCGTCCTTCTTCACCACGATGACCACCAGACTGCACCATTCCGATTGTGATGGCTCGATCACCCCCAGGCGCTGCATCTCCTCCACCTCCTTCAGGAGCTGTGCCACCAGATGTTGTGGAACCCGGTCGGACCTCTGGCGGACCGGGCCCTTGTCCTTTAAACGGATGACGTGCTCGACCAGGACCGTCTTCCCGGGGTTGGCAGCAAACAGCTTGGAGACTCTCTGGAAGACCTGGATCAGCTGGCTGGACTGGTCAGCGGAGAGATGGTTGAGGGCCGGTTCAGCAGGCTGGCGGAGGTCGGCTCGAGTGGACTCCTCCTCCCCTTCGCTGTCCACCTCCGTCGCCAGCAGGGACGCCACGGGCACCGGAATTACTGGAGCTTCCTTCCACTCCTTCAGCAGGTTAACATGGTAAGTCTGCTTTGCCTTCTTCTTGTCTGGGTGGTGAATCTCGTAGGTCACAGGGCCCATCTTCCGGAGAACTGTGTAGGGGCCTTGCCACTTGGCAAGTAGCTTGCTGGTGGAGGATGGCAGGAGGAGCAGAACCTTCTGGCCATGCTGGAGCTCTCTGTGTCTGGCCTGACGGTCGTACCATGCCTTCTGGGACTGCTGGGCCTCTCGTAGGTTGACCTCGGCTTCCTCCCGGTATTTGGCCAGGCGGTCCCTCATCTCCAGCACGAACTGGCCCACACTGCGATCACTGGTGGTTGTGGGAGCTTCCCAGCCCCTTAGCAGCAGGTCTAATGGTCCCTGGACATCCCAGCCATACAGTAACTTGAACGGGGAGAAACCAGTGGACGCCTGAGGAACCTCCCGGTAGGCAAACAGCAGAAAGGGCAGCCACTGGTCCCAGTCTCATCCGGTATCAGCCACGAACTTCTGCAGCATCCTCTTTAGGGTCTGGTTGAACCGCTCAACCAAGCCATCCGTCTGCGGGTGGTATGGAGTGGTCTTGATTGCTGAGATTCCCAGCTGCCGGTGGAAGAGCTGCAGCAGTCTGGAGGTGAAGTTCGTCCCCTGGTCAGTCACGATCTCCTCCGGAACACCAACCCTGGAAAACAACTGCACAAGACAACGCAGCACCGCCGGGGCAGTGATGGTGCGCAGGGGGAACGCCTCGGGGAACCGGGTGGCATAATCGTACAGCACCAGGATGTACTGGTGTCCGCCACTACTCCGCACTAATGGGCCAACAATATCCATGGCTATACGGCGAAATGGGGTGGAAATCACGGGCAGAGGTTGGAGAAGGGCACGGTCAGATTGGCGGACATAGGACGTTTTCTGACAGGTGGGACAGGTTTTACAGAAATTTTGTACATCCGCATACATGGATCGCCAATAGAAGCGAGAAGCTATACGCAAATAAGTCTTTTGTCGACCCAGATGACCAGCCCAAGGCACGGTGTGTGCCAGGTGCATGACCAGNTGGGTTTTTAAGGGACTGTCCCTGTTTCTCAGTACATTTTGTCTTGCCAGTTGAGGTGGCTCGGGCATCTGTTCCGGATGCTCCTGGACGCCTCCCTCGGGAGGTGTTCCGGGCATGTCCCACCGGGAGGAGGTCCCAGGGAAGACCCAGGACACGCTGGAGGGACTATGTCTCTCGGCTGGCCTGGGAACGCCTTGGGATTCCCCCAGAGGAGCTGGAGGACGTGTCTGGGGTGAAGGAGGTCTGGGAGTCCCTGCTTAGGCAAACAGCAGAAAGGGCAGCCACTGGTCCCAGTCTTGTCCGGTATCAGCCACGAACTTCTGCAGCATCCTCTTTAGGGTCTGGTTGAACCGCTCGACCAAGCCATCCGTCTGCGGGTGGTATGGAGTGGTCTTGATTGCTGAGATTCCCAGCTGCCGGTGGAAGAGCTGCCGCAGTCGGGAGGTGAAATTCGTCCCCTGGTCAGTCACGATCTCATCCGGAACACCAACCCTGGAAAACAACTGCACAAGACAACGCAGCACCGCCGGGGCAGTGACGGTGCGCAGGGGGAACGCCTCGGGGAACCGGGTGGCATAATCGCACAGCACCAGGATGTACTGGTGTCCACCACTACTCCGCACTAATGGGCCAACAATATCCATGGCTATATACGGCGAAATGGGGTGGAAATCACGGGCAGAGGTTGGAGAAGGGCACGGTCAGATTGGCGGACATAGGACGTTTTCTGACAGGTGGGACAGGTTTTACAGAAATTTTGTACATCCGCATACATGGAGGGCCAATAGAAGCGAGAAGCTATACGCAAATAAGTCTTTTGTCGACCCAGATGACCAGCCCAAGGCACGGTGTGTGCCAGGTGCATGACCAGTGGTCGACACGACATGGGAACCACGAGGCGCCTGGCACCGTCAGCCACTGCATACAAGATATCATTGTCAATAACATAGCACTCCCTGCTTCCTTTTGCCATATCGGGCAAATGCTGGCTTCAAAGTCTCATCCTGTCTTTGTAAGGCCCCAATGTCCTCTGGCACCTCCCACATCAATCCTGCCTTAAAGTCTGGCTCCCTCGACTTTAGTCCCTTTTCAAAGCGCCGCTGGCGGCGTGACTTCCTAGGCCCCTTTGTGCCCCCTTCAAACAACTCACTGTCCAGGGTAGAAAAGGTTCGAGACTGGACCCCTGCTCCTGCCCTGTGAGGGATGTCACCCCTGTCCTTGCCTGCGCACGGGTGATCACAGGACCCGAAAACCCCCTGCCACAGTCACTGACTTTAGCTCCCCCTTCCTGCAACACATCGATCAGCACAGGTAGATCCCACCCCAGGATGGCAGCTACTGGTAACTTCTCCACCACCCCCACTGACAACAAATACGGTTGTTCATCCACAGTCACTGTCAGATCAGCAGTAGGGTAGGAATGGCAGTCACCATGTACACACAAAATGGTTTCCTGCCTGCTGTAATCTACGATGCTTGTAGGCACGACGTCCCTTCGGACCAGGGTTAACAAGCTACCAGAGTCAACCAGGGCTGTCACGGGTTCACCATTAATAGTAACCTCCTTGTAACACT